AGATCCGGCGTTTCCCGATCAGCGATGAAGTGACGTCGATGCCTCTGGTCTGAGGACGAAGACAAACGTACTGAAGCCTATTCATGCTTGTTGACCCTAGCACCCAGCTTAAACCCGCCGAACCTTCGAACTTTGTTAAAGAATGCCTGACTGCAAAGATGTAACCCAGGTTTCGACGAGTTGAGCTCCTCTCCACTCGAAATGCGCTCTACTGTCACCTCACTGCCTAAGTTTGTGGGTCCCTTTCTTTCGTGCTGTCCATCACAAAGTTCTGACCCCGAATCCGGAGTGCCTCGGATTCGATTCCGTGGTGTTAACGCATCGTGGGGAGAGAGGTGGGTATTTCCGAGACGCCCCCGAGTCGATGCAGATTTCCGCGGCGTATCCGAGTCACACGACTGAAAATTACGCCCGCGCGGACCAAAAGATGAAAAGTTCGATTCGGCGGAATGCCGGCAACCAGAATCGAACCCATGCCGCTCGAGCGCTGACATACAGCAGACTGACATGTTAAGCAATGTGCTACTTGTGACTTTCCACAAAATCGAATTGAAAAAATTCATATCGCGTGCAGACTGCGCAGATCCTTACAGCCCTGTAAGCAGTGTACTGGCTAGGCCCAAATTGTATCATGGTTTTTTCCAAAAAGTTGCAAGTCCCTACCGCGCAGACTCCCTATAGAGTGATTTCTGAATATGCCCCGGGCAGATCTGACGTGCCCGGTTCGACACGCGATTATTTTAATCATTGTCAATATGAAATTAAATGCCGGAGATCCGAGTCGCGGAAACCATAACGTCTCGGCGGCGTGTCCGCTCCTCCATAATAAACCGGAACCGTCGCCGAAACGTACCCGGTCGGACAGTGGCGACAGTCTCGGAGTTGTTTCGGAAGAATTGTCGCCGAAACACTTCCAAAAGACCTCGGAGTTGAATTCTTTTAACACATCCGCTATAATAAAATCACGGATACATTCCGGAGACGCATTGGGGTCGGTCCAACATCTTTCCGATGTCCTGCTGGTTGATCGCGAAACGCGTTCAAGCTCATCCGGAATGGTTCTTGGCGTTCAAGTCACAACGGATTGTCGGGTTCTCAAGAATGCGCCGTCCTGGAAGTGCTGGGTCCCGGACCCATGATGGATTGTCATGTCCTGTGATTGCTGGCCATTCACGCATACTTTTAACCATTTTGAGGTGCCGTTTCATTTTAACTGCCCCCCAGCCTTTTCCACCGAGAGCCCCATGCCAGTTTGCACGTAAGTTTGCGGGTAACTTAACGTACTCTGAACGAAAGTGATTGCTTGCCAGTTGAATCCGTTGCCGGAACTAGTGGCAGGTCAAGGCTTCTGATTCGTGCCTCATAATGATTTCCCGTTTGTTCCACAACTCAAGAGCTCCTCACGAGCGAGACTCGAATGCGGCCGGCAGTGATGGCTACCATAGTGCCGTGACTTTTCGAGTCATGCTCCTGGTGTTGTGGCCTGACGCCACCCCGGGCTGGCTCGCCCTGTATTGCAGGGCGCGCGCGCGCGCGCTATATCAGCAAAATACGCGCGTGTCGTATGACAGATCAGCTGCCAACTTACGCGTGGCCGCCGTCAGTAGAAATGGAACGTACGGAAGCATTACCTCCATGTCCAAGCGTCAGGTCATTGTCCACAAAATGGGGGCGCCTTGAATCCTGGGTTGACCGTTTGAGTATCTCTTTTCATCGTGCTTTCTTTTTCGAATTATATCGCTGGCCATGATGACAGTCGATTACATGACCGGCTGGCCAGTAAGATGTCCCAGGAGTTCTTCGACGCCAGCGTTAGGATTCGGCATCGTTTGCTTGTAATCTGTAAGGTAACTTTCACCTTCTTCAGAACGGAGTCCTGGCATATGTTTAGGGGTCTCTTGAGTCTCTGCGCACTTAATCCTGGTAAAGTTCAACAGCTGACGAGCTCCAACGGCCGAGGCCACATCTGATGGAAAGCCGCAACGTGGCCGGTCATTTTGAAGCACCGTTTGTGTCACAGATATGCATGCGAGGATGCACGCGGTTAAGTCGGACTACTTGTTTCCGAATTGCCCATCCTCAAAGCATAGGAATTTGAGCTTTTCCTCTTTTCCTTGAAGGCGGCTGCTTATCTGTGGTGTTACGTTTGTTTGAACGTCATCTCCGTGATACAGCGCCCACACACGGAGGTGGGTACATGCGAAAAGGAAGCCCATCAACGGCGGATGTGTTGGAGAAAGAGAAGACATCTCGCCGGAGTATTTCTTGCCGCGTCGAGTTTTGTGGGCGCTCTATTATTTCTAACCAGCCGCCCCGGGAAGCATATTGTTTCCCAAGGATTGAGAAGTAACACGAGGCAGGGCCGGCACCAATAGAGGTTTTATGAGACAGGTGGACTATGGGCAACTCTTTTGTGAGGACGTGGTCTTTACCATGAGTGCAACGAGTGTGAATGCCGGACGATATCTAAAGTTTTCATCGGACCCTCTAGAATCTTTAACGGAATCCTCAATCAGCCAAACCTAGAGTCTGTTTATGAGTGGCTATGACGGAGTCTCTCTGGCTTGTAACAGATCGCTTACAAGGCCAGTGGCAGTTCTCTTTGATGCTGATGCCATACAATACTTTTCCTATGACGGAACTCGTTTTCAAAAAGTGTCCCTGTGGAAAGATTGGACCGTCCATGCAAGTGTATCGACGTTCGTCGGACTGTTGAGTTACTAGGGATCCTGCTATTGTGACCCCTGATCTTCTGGCCTCAAGAGCCAATATTGATGTCTTTTCAATTTAGCAATAGTAAGGGCTAGCAATAGTAAGCTCCGACACTACCACTAAGAACCTAACTTACAAAAACACCCGCTCCGCACCCCAACCCACCCTAACCCCCAAACTAACCCTACCCGTCTCAAGCTGGTGAGCTTACTATTGCTTATAAAGCTTACTCTTGCTAGATTGAAGATTTCCAAATTTGCTCTCCTTCGGTTCGACGTAAGGTAGGGTCCCACAAAGAGCAATTTCAACAGGCGCAGGTCGTCGTATAAGTCAGCAGGCGAGGTCAGACGTTAATGTGGCTCCAAGATTGAAGATTGAACGATCTTACTGACCTGCTGGCCATTTATCGCCTACTTTTGAGAGTCTGACGGATGTGCAGATGAGCCGCTTATAGGTGGCCTCTGCTTTACAATGGGCATGACCATGACGTTTTTGCTTCCTCATGCATTGACCAAACCCTCCAGCCAGCTTAATTTGATCGGATGGCCGAACCTCCCTGAGTATATTTGAACTGACTTCTCAGATTAGTCACTGGCCGCAAAGGCAGGCTTTGTAAGTATCTGGACGGCGACCCCACACGAAAGCTTTGCCAGGCTGTCAGAGGTAACGGATGATTCTTCTGCTGGCAGCTGGGGTGAGGGCGAAAGTTCTCAGCGGCCTGCAAAAACTGCGCACTGGGCGTCGGCTGCCCGACTGTGGGTCGCGCTCTATCACTGGTCCGTGCGCGGCGCGGCCGCGCGTCGGTAGCTCGTGGGTCACTCTTACCCGTTGGGCGAGCGGCCGCGTGGCGCATGCACGGGGCGTGCAGGCACGTGCCAGCGTCGACGGCCCCGCTCGGCCCGTGCTAGCCCTCGACGGATGAGCTTCTTGCAATTAAACGGAAGATTGGCAGATTGGTTCGGCAGATTGGTTTTGAACCCGTACTCAGATTGGTTTTCAACCGGTACTCAACCCTTCCGCTTACTCGCCTTGGGGACACTCCTTGCTTTTTGAAAACGACTGAGCGACGTAAACAATTTGCCAGCAGTAATTCTTGTCTCCCGTTTCTCCGATTTCGGACCTGTCACCAGGTATGCGATCAACCGGCCTTGCAGGGTCCAATTCCTACGTGGCAATAATAACCTGAGCAGAGGTTAGAATTGAACAGAAATTCGAAGCTCGTCAGCTTCCTGAGCCGAGCAAGGGTATTGCCTATCCATAGCCGCGTTTCGCTTCGTATCAGCTCGCACGA